TAACGGTACCTCACGATATTCGGTATTTTTATGATTTTATGGACATTTTTTCACCAGAATTGTTTCAATTTTGGTATTTGAAGTTCGAAATGGGTACTACAGCCTAAGGCAGAAAATTGTCTATGCAGGTCCACGTCTTTGTATAGCCTCCATATAACGGTACCTCACGATATGCGGCCTTTTGATAATTTTAGCGACATTATTTACTGGAACTATTTAAAATTTGGTATTTGAAGTTCGTAATGGATACTACAGGCCACGACAGAAAATTGTCTGTGCAGGTCCACGTTTTATAACCCCCATGGTACCTCCCTAAATTCGGTGTTTTGATGATTTTAGCTAAATTATAAACAGATTTTTTTTTTCAAGTTTCGCATTTGAATATTTTAATAGCTTGTGACAAATGTTGCCTATGCAGGTGGAAGTTGTCGCATAGACCCTAATATACGGCTACATTCGGAATTTTTGAAGATTTTAACAGCATTTTTAACGGATTTTATTGTCTTTGAGAATTGCCAAATTCGTTCCAAACGGTGGAGGGTATTTAAAGTTCGGCCAGGCCAGTTTTTTACTTGTTTTTCATTTAAAATGATTATTGAACAAGACTCTGGTCTCTAGAAAAAAAAATATATTTTTTAAAGTTCACTTTTTAAATTCTAAAACATTCACATTTGAAAAAAGTAATCTAAGTTAATTTTTTTTTTTTTTTTTTGAAATCCACAGCTGAATGCGCAACTAAAACATCCGCGTTAAAAAAAAATCTCAAAATCTATGATCGGATATATTGTTAAAAAAAATCCAGGTTTCAAAAAAAAATTCGAAAAAATCTCACGTTTACAAAACTATTTGTTTAAACAACCACTTATCAATTTTGTTTTTTTTTTTCTAATTTGTTTTCAATTAATAGACTTTTTTCGCAAATGTATAACTTGCATCTTCAGGGAATTCTAACTTTAAGAAAGTACACGTTTATAAAAATATTCTTAAGAAATCCACGCTTACAATATTTATTCAAATCGACTCTGAAGAAATTTGTCACGTTTAAAAAAATATTCTAAAACTCGCTTTTAAAAAATCCAGAATTTACTTTTAGTAAATAAACTAAAAAACCCAAATTAAAAAAATTATTTTTAAAACGAAAATTAAAAAAATATTTTAAAAATCTACACTTGAGAAGAATGTTCTTAAAAATTCACGTTTGGAAATATATTGTAAAAAATTAACTTTTGAAAAAATATTTTACGATGGAGAAAAAGTTGTAGTAAACCTCCACTTTTGAAAAAAATACAATGGGAAAATACACGTTAAAAAAAAAACTGAATAAATCTACTTTGAATAAATCTACTAATTTACAAAAGTCCACTGTGGAGAAAAATGTCCCGAATTAAAAAATATTCCTACCAAATCTACCTTAAAAAATATTCTTCATAAAAAAAAAAACAATTTTTAGCCCATATTTGTTTTGAGATATTTAAAGAGGAAAAATAACATATTTAAAATGGCCATAACTCCTTAAATATCAACATTTCGGGGTGTTTTTACCCATTTTTGTGTTGAGATATTTAAAGAGGAAAAATAGCATATTTTAAAATGACCATAACTCCTTAAATGTCAACATTTCGGGGTGTTTAACCCATTTTTGTGTTGAGATATTTAAAGAGGAAAAATAGCATATTTTAAAATGGCCATAACTCCTTAAATATCAACATTTCGGGGTGTTTAACCCATTTTTGTGTTGAGATATTTAAAGAGGAAAAATAACATATTTAAAATGGCCATAACTCCTTAAATATCAACATTTCGGGGTGTTTAACCCATTTTTGTTTTGAGATATTTAAAGAGGAAAAATAGCATATTTTAAAATGACCATAACTCCTTAAATATCAACATTTCCGGGTGTTTAACCCATTTTTGTGTTGAGATATTTAAAAAGGAAAAATAGCATATTTTAAAATGGCCATAACTCCTTAAATATCAACATTTCCGGGTGTTTAACCCATTTTTGTGTTGAGATATTTAAAGAGGAAAAATAGCATATTTTAAAATGGCCATAACTCCTTAAATATCAACATTTCCGGGTGTTTAACCCATTTTTGTGTTGAAATATTTAAAGAGGAAAAATAGCATATTTTAAAATGGCCATAACTCCTTAAATATCAACATTTCCGGGTGTTTAACCCATTTTTGTGTTGAAATATTTAAAGAGGAAAAATAGCATATTTTAAAATGGCCATAACTCCTTAAATATCAAAATTTCCGGGTGTTTAATCCATTTTTGTGTTGAGATATTTAAAGAGGAAAAATAGCATATTTTAAAATGGCCATAACTCCTTAAATATCAACATTTCCGGGTGTTTAACCCATTTTTGTGTTGAAATATTTAAAGAGGAAAAATAGCATATTTTAAAATGGCCATAACTCCTTAAATATCAACATTTCCGGGTGTTTATCCCATTTTTGTGTTGAGATATTTAAAGAGGAAAAATAGCATATTTTAAAATGGCCATAACTCCTTAAATATCAACATTTCCGGGTGTTTAACCCATTTTTGTTTTGAGATATTTAAAGAGGAAAAATAGCATATTTTAAAATGACCATAACTCCTTAAATATCAACATTTCCGGGTGTTTAACCCATTTTTGTGTTGAGATATTTAAAAAGGAAAAATAGCATATTTTAAAATGGCCATAACTCCTTAAATATCAACATTTCCGGGTGTTTAACCCATTTTTGTGTTGAAATATTTAAAGAGGAAAAATAGCATATTTTAAAATGGCCATAACTCCTTAAATATCAACATTTCCGGGTGTTTAATCCATTTTTGTGTTGAGATATTTAAAGAGGAAAAATAGCATATTTTAAAATGGCCATAACTCCTTAAATATCAACATTTCCGGGTGTTTATCCCATTTTTGTGTTGAGATATTTAAAGAGGAAAAATAGCATATTTTAAAATGGCCATAACTCCTTAAATATCAACATTTCCAGGTGTTTATCCCATTTTTGTGTTGAGATATTTAAAGAGGAAAAATAGCATATTTTAAAATGGCCATAACTCCTTAAATATCAACATTTCGGGGTGTTTAGCCCATTTTTGTGTTGAGATATTTAAAGAGGAAAAATAGCATATTTTAAAATGGCCATAACTCCTTAAATATCAACATTTCCGGGTGTTTAACCCATTTTTGTGTTGAGATATTTAAAAAGGAAATATAACATATTTTAAAATGGCCATAACTCCTTAAATATCAACATTTCCGGGTGTTTAACCCATTTTTGTGTTGAAATATTTAAAGAGGAAAAATAGCATATTTTAAAATGGCCATAACTCCTTAAATATCAACATTTCCGGGTGTTTAACCCATTTTTGTGTTGAGATAAAAAAAAAGATTTTTTAAAATTCTTGCTTGGGAAAAAATTACAAATCTATGTTTGTAAAATATTTTTAAAAATTCACGTTTGAAAATATTCTTGAGATATTCACATACATTTTTTTTAAACCCCACATTTGAAGAAATGTTTTCACAACTTTATAAAATATTCCCTAAAAACGAAGTTTTTAAACAAAATTCCTAAAAAACAATTAAAATTTACGTTTAAAAAAAATATTTATAAAAAAAAATCGCCTTTGAACAAAAAATGGTTTTTTAAATCCAAAATTCAAACTCAATAAAAATTAGACAAAATTAGACAACGAGGATTTTTAGAAAATTTTTGTAGGACTATCAGAGTTTTTTAATATGGCTAGAATTTTTTTTATTTGATAGACTATCAGAGCCGTAATTATATTTATGATAATGATTATAAGGGGAATAAAAAATCTGCTTCATAAAATATGTCCTAAAATCGCCGTTAAAAATTTGCAAATTGAACTCTTTACAAATTTAGGGATTTTCGAGAGTTTTTTTTATTGAAATTTAAATTTGCAAGTTTTTGTATTCATTTGGTTTCCCAGCCTGCTCTTTATTTCCCATCATCCCCGGATTTTTCAAATTTTTAAACGAAATTTTTGAAGAATTATGTGACCCATTAAAACGGGGGGTTTTAGGAAATTCTTGACGGAATATGATACTTCGTATCAAAATGATAACAAGTATTGTTCTTAAAATATATCCTAATATCCATCCTAGTTGAAATTTTTATTGAAATTTTATAAAATTTATCTCGAATATTCGAAATTATAATTTTCAGTATTTTTTTTTTTTTTTTTTTTTGCTAAAGTAATGATTATTTCAATCTTGGATTTTTCAGATAATAAATTTGTCAGTGAATTTTTTATCAATTTCCTGTACATATGAATTTTTGTCAAATTTTTAATTTTAAAATCCACCCAAAACCAGTTTCGAAAGGGGTTCAAATGAAAAAAAAAAAAAAAAAAAAAAAAAAAAAAAAAACTATGGACAATGATCATTAAAAATATTACTATTAAATTTATTTAGTAAATGGTTATCAGCAAATATTGACGCTATTAATTTTTTTATAACAATAACAATAATATTATCACATTACAAACAACAAATGAAACAAGAGCACACGTCAATGTTTCTGTTTTTGCAAATTAAAAAAAAAAAAAAAAAATAACGCAAATATTTTTTTTTTTTTTTTTTCAAAATGACTATTAAAAAAAAAATATCAACACAAATTTGAATTTTTTCTTTGGTATCATAAAATTTGTATATATGTGTGTATATTTGTTCATTTTGTATATATGATCCACATATACATGTGTGTATATATGTATATACGCATTCTTTAATTGAGCCAAGATCATCCCCATTGTGAGTGACCGCGCATAGTGTCACCAGGGGGGCGGGGGCGCAACTAATACGTCATAGACACAATTTTGCTTTGAATATTTCATATCGCCACTGTCGGTCTCACTGTCACTAACACCACCACCACCGCCAGCACTTTATTATTTACGAAATTCAAAACCACCATCATTTTTTTGTGGTGGGACAGGCGTGTGTCGGTTCGTTGTAAATCAACAAAACACTAACCTTAGACGCGTTAAAATTCAAATCAAGCGTTCAAGTTTTTTTTTCAACACTTCACAGTTTTTTTAATTAATGAAACCAAAAAAAAAAATAATATTCTTTGTACCACACTAACCGATATTCAAAAAAAAAAAAAATTAAACACTTGAATTTTTTTCTTAATTTTCACTTTTTATTTTTTTCAAAATTTTATAAATATTTAAAACTAATTTTGTTCTTCACACTGGAAGCGACAAAATATAACTGAACGCTTCTTATGCCCCGAGCTGGCCAAGAAAACTTATTGGGCAGCGAGCACATCAGTCGTCACCACTAGACAGCGCTCGGCTAAAGATAGGGCAAACCCCACTGGGCTGCTGTTGCTGCAGCATAAGAAGCTGGCGAACATTCTAATTCACCATTTCTCACTTTTGAGTGATCGCATTGTTCTATCCAATGATTGATTGTTTGCTTTGCTGGTGGTGGTGGTAATGGTAGTGGTGGGAAGAGATCAATTGAAAGCAAAGAGTGATAGAGATATTCATTAATCTCTGAAAAGAGAACGCATTTGTCAATTTTATATGCAGGGATGGAAATACTAAATCTCTGTTACTTTTTCATAGCACAAATTACGGTTTTTCATATCGGCGGTTGTTTTATATGTGGTGTCCGTTGGAATTGCAATTTTCGAATTTCGAAAAAAGGAAAGTTGTGCTCAAATGTGTCGAATTTCGAAAAAATTTCTGAGATATTCAAAAAAAGTTTTTTTTTTGGAAAAAATCTGAGAAAATTGCAATTTTCGAATTTTGAAAAATTTAAAGTTTTTCTGAGTTGAACTCGGTTTGTGTCCATTTGTGCCGTTAAATTTTTTTCGATATCTCTTACCAATTCCGAAATAACCAAGTAAAGAAAGTCTTAAAGTCGGGCGGGCCGACTTGGAATTGCAATTTTCGAATTTCGAAAAAAGGAAAGTTGTGATGAATTGTGCTCAAATGTGCCGAATTTCGAAAAAATTTCTGAGATATTCAAAAAAAGAATTTATTAAAAAAAGATTTTTTTTTGGAAAAAATCTGAGAAAATTGCAATTTTTGAATTTCGAAAAAAGGAAAATTGTGCTGAATTGTGCTCAAATGTGCTGAATTTCGAAATTCGAAAATATTTCTGAGATATTCAAAAAAAGATTTTTTTTTTGAAAAATCTGAGAAAATTGCAATTTTCGAATTTCGAAAAATTTAAAGTTGTGCTGAGTTGTTCTCGGTTTGTGCCCATTTGTGTTGTTAAATTTTTTTCGATATCTCTTACCAATTTCGAAATAAACCAGTAAAGAAAGTCTTAAAGTCGGGCGGGGCCGACTTGGAATTGCAATTTTCGAATTTCGAAAAAAGGAAAGTTGTACTGAATGGAGCTCAAATGTGCCGAACTTCGAAAAAATATGTGGTGTCCGTTGGAATTGCAATTTTCGAATTTCGAAAAATGGAAAGTTATGCTGAATGGTGCTCAAATGTGCCGAATTTCGAAAAAATTTCTGAGATATTCAAAAAAAGAATTTATTAAAAAAAAGATTTTTTTTTCAAAAAAATCTGAGAAAATTTCAATTTTCGAATTTCGAAAAAAGGGAAATTGTGCTGAATTGTGCTTAAATGTGCTGAATTTCGAAATTCGAAAATATGTCTGAGATATTAAAAAAAAGATTTTTTTGAAAAAAATCTGAGAAAATTGCAATTTTCGAATTTCGAAAAATTTAAAGTTGTGCTGAGTTGTACTCGGTTTGTGCCGTTAAATTTTTTTTTCGATATCTCTTACAAATTTCGAAATATACCAGTCTTAAAGTCGGGCGGGGCCGACTTGGAATTGCAATTTTCGGATTTCGAAAAAATGAAAGTTGTGCTGAATTGTGCTCAAATGTGCCGAAATTCGAAAAAATTTCTGAGATATTCAAAAAAAAGATTTTTTTTTGGAAAAAATTTGAGAAAATTGCAATTTTCAAATTTTGAAAAAATTAAAGTTGTTCTGAGTTGAACTTGGTTTGTGCCCATTTGTGTTGTTAAATTTTTTTTCGATATCTCTTACCAATTTCGAAATAAACCAGTAAAGAAAGTCTTAAAGTCGGGCGGGGCCGACTTGGAATTGCAATTTTCGGACTTCGAAAAAAGGAAAGTTGTGCTGAATTGTGCTCAAGTGTGCCGAAATTCGAAAAAAATTTTTGAGATATACAAAAAAAAAAAAGATTTTTTTTCGAAAAAATCTGAGAAAATTGTAATTTTCGAATTTCGAAAAATTTAAAGATGTACTCGGTTTGTGCCCATTTGGGCCGTTAAAATTTTTTCGATTCTGAGATATTAAAAAAAAAGTTTTTTTCCAAAAAAAAAAAAATCTGAGGAAATTGCAATTTTCGAATTTTGAAAAATTTAAAGTTGTGCTGAGTTGTACTCGGTTTGAGCCCATTTGTGTTGTTAAATTTTTTTTCGATATCTATTACCAATTTCGAAATAAACCAGTAAAGAAAGTCTAAAAGTCGGGCGGGGCCGACTTGGAATTGCAATTTTCGGATTTCGAAAAAAGGAAAGTTGTGCTGAATTGTGCTCAAATGTGCCGAAATTCGAATTTCGAAAAAATTTCTGAGGTATTCAAAAAAATATTTTTTTTCGAAAAATCTGAGAAAATTGCAATTTTCGAATTTCGAAAAATTTAAAGTTATGCTGAGTTGTACTCGGTTTGTGCCCATTTGTGTCGTTAAAATTTTTTTCGATATCTCTTACCAATTTCGAAATAAACCAGAAAAGAAAGTCTTAAAGTCAGGCGGAGCCGACTTGGAATTGCAATTTTCGGATTTCGAAAACAGGAAAGTTGTGCTGTATTGTGCTCAAATGTGCCGAAACTCGAAATTCGAAAAAATTTCTGAGAAATTAAAAAAAAGATTTTTTTTTTCAAAAAAATCTGAGAAAATTGCAATTTTCGAATTGCGAAAAATTTAAAGTTGTGCTGAGTTGTATTCGGTTTGAGGCCATTTGTGCCGTTAAATTTTTTTTTTTGATATCTTTTACCAATTTCCAAATAACCAAGTAATGAAAGTCTTAAAGTCGGGGCGGGGCCGACTTTATGATACCCTACACCACTTTACTAATTTAGTAGAGCTCCGCATAAAAATTAAAAGTTTTTTTATGGGAGAATTCAATCACATACGCTATGATTATAATTATAATTTAAAGTTCAAAGGACTAAATATGCCGAAGCATTTGTATCTTTTAAATTCGGACTCGGCATTGCCCATTTGGTGCACGATTAATTTGAAATCGGATAAAGATATATATGGGAGCTATATCCAAATTGGAACCGATCTCGATAAAATTTGGCAAAGATATTTCTGAGCTGTATTTCATATATTTCCCCGAATATCGTTGTTACGGAGTGCATATTATGGCTGTGGGTAAGAAATGTAACAAATCGGATGAACAGTATATATGAGAGCTATAGCTATATCTGAACCGATCTTCATCAAATTTGGCATACTAGCTTCTAGACTCAATTCGGTCGTAAGTGCCAAATTCCATCCCATTTGAACAACTATTAGAGGTTTTGTGCACAATAAAAGGTAAATCGGACGAAGTTATATATGGGAGCTATATCCAAATCTGAACCGATCTCGATATAATTTAGCAAATGTATTTCTGAGCTGTATTTGATATATTTCCCCAAATATTGTTGTTACAGAGTGCATATTACGGCTGCGGAGGACAAAAATAACAAATCGGATGAACAAAATATAAGGGAGCTATAGCTATATCTGAACCGATTTCGATCAAATTTGGCATACTTATTTTCAGGCCTAATTTGGTTGTATGTGCAAAATTCCATACTATTCGGGCAGATATTAGACGTTTGGTTCACAATAAAAGGCAAATCGGACGAAGATATATATGGGAGCTTTATCTAAATTTTTACCGATTATTTCCAATTTCAATAGGGTTCGTCCTTGGGCCAAATAAATGATTTTTGCAAAATTTCATCTTGATCGGACAATAAATGCGAACTGTACTATGTTCACAAAAATACATGGACAGACAGACAGACGGACGAACGGACGGACATGCATAAATCGACTCAGAATGTGATTCTATGCAGATTCTCAAATGGAACTATGGGTCTATCTTGTTTCCTTTTGCCTGTTACAAATACATAAATATATAATACCCTGACCACCTTGTGGTGTAGGGTATAAAAACGACAATTTCGAAAATATACCACAATTACAATTTTCGAATTTTGAAAAATTAAGAGTTGTGCTTGATTTGTGCTAACTTGTGCCGTTTATTTTTTTTTTCTCAATATTTTTAATCGTTTTCAATATATGACAATTTCGAAGAAAAAAAACAGTATTTTTTCAGAAAAATCACTCTTAATTTTTTGAAATTCGAAAAATGCTATTCTGGCATACATAAGTTCGAAAATTGCAATTCTCTCAGATTTTTTTTGAATTTCGAAAAAAAAAATTCTGAGTACTTTACCCTCTCGAAGAGAATTTTTCATTTAGGTCCACGATATCGTATAGCACCCATATAATGGTAACCCCCCCCCCCACCTATATTCGGTATTTTTATGATTTTCCATTCAATTCCAATTGTCTGAAAATCCAAACAAGGAGTTTCTTCTGAGTACTTTATCCCCTGGATATAGGTCCACGATATCGTATAGCCCCCAAATAACGGTATCGCTCAATATTCGGTATTTCGATTATTTTAGCTTTATTATTCACCGGAATTGTTTCAAATTTCGTATTTAGCGTTCGTAATGAGTACTACAGACTATAACAAAAAAAATGTCTAAGCAGGTCCAGGTATTCACATAGCCTCCCTGCATCAGTACCTCCCTATATTCGGTATTTTAATGATGTTAGCAATATTACGCACCGGAATTATTTAGACCTGGAGCTGCATAGACAATTTTCTGTCACAGGCTTGCATTACGAACTTCAAGTATGACATCTCAAACAATTTCGGTGAGTATTGTACCTAAAATCCTCAAAATACGCAATAAAAAGGAGGTATTGATATATGGGGCCTATACGAAGACCTGGACCTGCATAGACTATTTTCTCTCACAGACTGTAGTTCCCATTCCCACGAACTTTAAATACGTAACTTGAAACTACTACGGTGAATAATGACGCTAAAATCATCAAAATACCGAATATCGGGGGGTACGGTATATGGAGGCTATACGAAGACGTGGACCTACATGGCCCATTTTATCTATTTTATCCTGCGGTGTCTATTACGAACTTCAAATACCAAATTTGGAAAGATTCCGTTAAATAATGTCGCTAAAATCATCAAAATACCGAATATCGGGAGGTACCGCTATATGGGGGCTATACGAAAACGTGGACCTGTACAGACAATTTTCTGTCTTAGGCTGTGGTATCCATTACGAACTTCAAATACCAAATTTGAAACAATACCGGGGAATAATGTCGCTAAAATCATCAAAATACCGAATATAGGGAAATACTGTTATAAGGGGGGCTATACGAAGACGTGGACCTACATGGCTGATTTTTTGACTTAGGATGTAGTATCCATTACGAACTTCAAATACAAAATTTTTAACAATTCCGGTAAATAATGTCGCTAAAATTATCAAAATACCGAATATCGGGAGGTACCGTTATATGGGAGCTAAATGAAAACATGGACCTACATGGTCCATTTACGAACTTAACCTGCCTATTGGCAAAATATACATGTGTGCAAAATTTTAGCCTTTTATCTCAATTCGTTCGAAAAATATTGTGATTGCAAAAGACAGACGGACATGGCTAAATCGACTTAGAATTTTACTCTGATCAACAATATATATATATATATATATATATATATATATATATATATATATATATATACTTTGTTGGCTCTGACATGAGTATTTCGTTACAAACGGAATGACAAATTTAATATACCCTACATAGTATGGTGGAGGGTATACAAACTGCTTTGTTCCTTAAAGTGTCCTCCTTTTTTCCCCTAATGTATAAATACCACCACTAAATTTCCCTCAAAAATATCCATCATATAACAGTGAAACACGTTCACTATCCATTGTTTACAAACACTCAGCGCCATCTAGAGTAGTATTGCTACTCGTATGACAGTATACAAATATAACACTTAATGACATATTAAATACGGCGAAATAGTTTGTGTCTTAGCTAATATATGAACAAACTGCAGCGAATATAACACAAGGTGACTATGAACGAACAGAAATAAATTAAAATACCCATAGTCTTGACAGCAACCATGACATTTGGTCAATTATTGAAATATCCCAAAGACATGGTTGTATTTTTATATGAGACAATCTGTAGAAAAAAATTATATTGAAAAATTAAAAAAAAAATTATGATTGTAAATTGAGAAAAAAAAAAAAAACTAAAAACTGAAAGAAAAATCGCTTTAAATTTCCTTTTCACGTTGAATAAACTATGACAAGCTTTTTTCGGAATTAAAAAAGGAAACTGAAATTTATATTTTTTTTGTCTTCACAAATATTAAAGACTTAGCACTTCTTTCATAAATATTTTTATACCCTCCACCATGCTATGGAGGGTATATTAGGAGAGATTTAAAAAAATATTATAAAATTATTGCAAAATAGTTTAACTCTTTTCTATTTTTTTTAGAAGTTTTCAGAAAAAATTTTAAATATATGAGGGGGATTTTTTTTAATTTATTTTGTTTCAAGGGTTATTAGAATTTTGGGAATATTTTTAATGGCTTCTAAAGCCTTAAAGTCTATTAAAATATATTTGGGGACATTTAAAAAAATATATTTAAACTTTTTTTAGATTTCCAGAATTTGTCGAAAAAAATTAAAAAAAAACAATTAGGAAGATTTTTAAATTTATTTATTTATTTTTTAAATTTATTATTATTATTTTTATACCCTCCATCATACTATGGAGGGTATATTAACTTTGTCATTCCGTTTGTAACTCCTCGAAATACTCATGTCAGACCCAACAAAGTATATATATTCCTGATCAGCGTAAGATTCTAAGTCGAATTAGGGTCTGACTCTCTATCTGTCCGTCTGTCTGTCTAATGTAATCACGCTATCTTTCGAACAATTTAAAATGGAAGGGTAAAATTTTGCACAAATGTTTATTTACTTTCTACGTTTTCATATAGCCCCATATAACGGTACCTCCCGATGTTCGGTATTTTGATGATTTTAGCGAAATTTTTTACAGGAACTATTTTAAATTTGCTATTTGAAGTTCGTAATGGATACTACAGCCTAGGACAGAAAATAGACTGTGCAGGTCCACGTCTTCGCATAGCCCCCCTATAACAGTTCCTCCCTATATTCGGTATTTTGCTGATTTTTGCGGCATTATTAATCGGAATTGTTTCAAATTTGGTATTTGAAGTTTGTAATGGATATTACAGCCTATGACAGAAAATTGTCTGTGCAGGACCACGTCTTCATATAGCCCCCATATAACGGTACCACCCATTTCGGTATTTTGATGATTTTAGCGTCATTATTTACCGGAACTGTTTTAAATTCAGTATTTGAAGTTCGTAATGGATACTACAGCCTAGGACAGAAAATTGTCTGTACAGGTCCAGGTCTTAGTATAGGCGACATATAACAGTACCTGCCTATATTCGGTATTTTGACGATTTTAGGTACAATACTCACCAAAATTGTTTGAGATATTGTATTTAAAGTTCGAAATGGATACTACAGGCTAAGACAGAAAATTGTCTGTGCAGTTCTTCGTTTTCGTATAGCCTCCATATAACGGTACCTCACGATATTTGGTATTTTGATGATTTTAGTGACATTATTTACCGGAATTGTTTCAAATTTGGTATTTAAAGTTCGAAATGGATACTACAGGCTAAGACAGAAAATTGTCTGTGCACGTCCACGTCTTCATATAGCCGCCATATAACGGTACCTCCCGATATTCGGTATTTTGATGATTTTAGCGACATTATTTAGCGGAATTGTTTCAAATTTGGTATTTACAGTTCGAAATGGATACTACAGTCTGTGACAGAAAATTGTCTATGCAGGTTCAAGTCTTCATATAGCCCCCATATTATGATACCTCCCAATATTCCGTATTTTAATTATTTTAGCGACATTATTTAGCGGAATTGTTTCAAATTTGGTGTATGAAGTTCGTAATGGATATTACAGCCTGTGACAAAAAATGTTCTGTGCAGGTCCACGTCTTCGTATAGACCCCATATAACGGTACCCCCCGATATTCGGTATTTTGATGATTTTAGCGACATTATTCACCGGAATTGTTTCAAATTACGTATTTAGAGTTCGTAATGGGAACTACAGTCTGTGATAGAAAATTGTCTGTGCAGGTCCACGTCTTCCTAAAACGCCCATATAACGGTACCACCCATTTTCGGTATTTTGATGATTTTAGCGTCATTATTTACCGGAACTGTTTTAAATTCAGTATTTGAAGTTCGTAATGAATACTACAGCCTATGACTGAAAATTGTCTGTGCAGGTCCAAGTCTTCATATAGCCCCCATATATAAGTACTTCCCGATATTCGGTATTTTGATGATTTTAGCGACATTATTTAGCGGAATTGTTTCAAATTTGGTATATGAAGTTCGTAATGGATACTACAGCCTAGGACAGAAAATTGTCTATACAGGTCCAGGTCTTAGTATAGGCGACATATAACAGTACCTCCCTATATTCGGTATTTTGACGATTTTAGCTACATTATTCACCGTTTATTTCAAGTTTCGAATTTGAATATAGTAATGGCTTATGACAAATAATGCCTAGGTCCACGCCGTACAGACCCCAATATAACGGCTTTATTCGGTATTTTTAAAATTTTAACTAAATTTTTTAAGGATTTTATTTTTGAAAAGTTCCAAATTCGTTCCAAATGGTGGAGGGTATTTAAAGTTCGGCCCGGCTGAACTTACTGCTTTTTAACTTGTTTTATCTCACCCTGTATTGTCCATTTTCGCTCCTGACCTGGCACTCATGTAAATATTAGGATTTGTAAAGTTTGCACAAAATTAGTTGATTTTCTCTTGTTCTATGAGGTAAATTATTTTTTATGAAAATTTCGAACTTTTGTGGGGGAGCTACCAGAAGGAGTGGACCGATATTGCCCATCTTCGAAATCGATCTAAGTTTGACAATAAAATTGCGATGTACCAAGTTTGGGTGAAGTCGGATACTCCCTTCGAGAGTTATCGTGCGAACAAACAAACAAGACGGACGGGCGAAAACCCATAGATCGACTCCAAATATCCTGAAACGTCTAAAACAATTATTTCGATGAGCTACATTTTGGCCCTATTAAATGGCTGATTTTATAAAGAATTGAGATTCATTTTTCAAATGTTCTTTGAATTTCAGAATGAAATGTTGATGGTTGCGTTTAGGGTAAGCGATAGAAGAACAGGACCCTTTTTTGAACTAGATCTAAATTTCATAGAAATATTTCCATATGTGAAGTTGGAATCAGATTCGATACTCCCTTCAAAAGTGGATGGACGAAGAATCATCATTAGATGAACTCTAAAAATCCTTAAATGCGTTACAGGCAGATATATAACCTCTCTAGTCGAAGATTCCAAAAACCAAGAGTAAAGCTCAAACGAGATTAATTTTTTTTATAACCAAATGTTCATTTTTTATTATTTTTAATTTTTAATATTTTTATATATATTTTTCTAATTTTTCTCCACATTATGTTACATATCTATCCCATTTTAAAATAAAACTCAACTCAAAATTTTATTTTTAAAAATTATTTCAATTTATTTGTTTTGTGTTTGTTTAAAAAAAAAAAGAAAAAATATATATACAAAATAAAAAATATATAATATAAAAAATAATATTATAACACATACTTCAAAGACAGGAGGAGAAGAAGATTTTTTGGGGGAGAGACTTCAAAACAAAAAAATTGGGAAATAGGAAACGTAGCTGAAGGGAGGATCAATCAAAGGAAACACTAGGAGAAGGATAGTTAAACATTTATTTTACTTAAACTAAGGACAAGGATCAAAATGATGCTACACACTTATAAAGAGAGGGAGAGAGGATAGAGGGAATACAGTGAGAGAGTGCGTTTTGAAGAGAGTAAATTTACGAAATAAAGTAAAGGACTTAGGACAATGGGTAACATTTAGTTACGTTTCCTTAAGGCTAAACGGCCAGCCAATGGACGTTTGGGCTTAGCATCTTCTTTAGGTTCGGCCTCAGCATCGTCGGCGGGTTCATCGACGGGTTCTGGTTTTGTGGGCTTGCCGGCCTTGCGATTGCGGCTCACTAAAATCGAAATGGAAGATAGAATTAATTTTTTTTTTGAAAATGTTTTCCAAATGGAATTCTTGGAAACTTACAAGCTGAATTGGGTTTGCTGAAACCCTTGGCTGGGGCGGGGGCAGCTGGGGCAGCATCTTCTTCTCCATCTTCGGAGTCTTGGCTGACAGGGGCTTTGGGCTTGGGGGCAGGTTTTTCGGCTGAAAGGAGAAAAAGAATGTTTTATATTTTTCTGGACATAGATATCTACAGGCGACAGGTCTATGGGCGAAATCTAATCTATTGTAGGTGTCTATAGACGACATCTATTCTCGTGTAGATGTCTACCTACGACATCTACTCTCCTGTAGATGTCCACAGGCGACATCTACTCCATTGTAGATGTCCAAAGGAGACGTCTACTCTATTGTAGATGTCCATAGGAGACATCTACTCTACAGTAGATGTCTATCGACGACATCTACTCAACCGTAGATGTCTATAGGCGACATCTACTCTACAGTAGATGTCTATAGGCGACATCTACTCTACAGTAGATGTCTATAGGCGACATCTACTCTACAGTAGATGTCTATCGACGACATCTACTCTACAGTAGATGTCTATCGACGACATCTACTCTACAGTAGATGTCTACTGACGACATCTACTCTACAGTAGATGTCTATCGACGACATCTACTCTACAGTAGATGTCTATCGACGACATCTACTCTACAGTAGATGTCTATAGGCGACATCTACTCTCGTGTATATGTCTGTAGACGCCATCTCCCGACCACATCTGTAGACCTACTCGGTCTCTAATTTTTTGGTTTGTTTCTCTCTCTTGCTTACCCTTAGCTTTCTTGGCATTCATTTGTCTGCGCTTCAAGGAGTTCAAGAAATCATCGTTGGAACGGAATGGACGAATGACGGGACCAATACGTTTGGGTGCCTCTGTGGTGGTGGTGGTTGTCGACACATCAGCCTCTTCAGCTTCTTCGCCCTCTTGGCCTTCTTCACCGTTCTCGGGGTAATCGCCTTCTTCATCTTCGCTGGGATTGACGGTGGTTGTTGAGGTCTTGGTCAATTTACCTGGTGGACGTCTCAGACCACGTTTAGCATCATCAGCCATTGTTGTGCTCAAGCAGCAGGCCAAAGCGAGGATAACAAAAAGTAGGGTGCTAAAGAGAGAAAGAGAAGAAAAAAATAAAAAAATAAGTCTCTTTTTATTAAAAAAAATATTTTTGTCTATTATTAGCCAATTTCGGAGAGTTTTTGGATTCAAACAAAAATATTTTTTGGGAACAGTGTTGGCATGCTTGTTTGGGATACCATAGTAGTTTGTTTTTGTTTTTTGGTAGAAAATTTTGAATTTGTTGACATGGTTAGGGAATGTCTCAAAAAGGGGAATTTAGAAATTTATTTGGAGAGATTTAAAAAAAACATTATAAAATTTTCTAATTTTTTTAACTTTTAGAAGTTGTCAGAAAAAATTTAAAATATGTGAGAGAGATCTTTTTAAATTTATTGTTTTCAAGGGTTATTAGAATTTTGGAAATATTTTTAATGGCTTCAAAAGCCTTATGATCTATTAAAATATATTGGGGAGATTAAAAAAAAAATAAAAAAATATATTATTTTTTTTTAGATTTCCTGAATTTTTCAGAATAAAATGGGGAAAGATTTTAAATTTATTTATTATTTTTTAATTTATTATTATTATTATTATTATTATTATTATTATTATTATTATTATTATTATTATTATTATTATTATTATTATTATTATTATTATTATTATTATTATTATTATTATTGTTATTATTATTATTATTATTATTATTATTATTATTATTATTATTATTATTATTATTATTATTATTATTATTATTATTATTATTATTATTATTACTATTATTATTATTATTATTATTATTATTTGTAGTGCTATCAGATATATATTAAATTATCAAGTTATTAAAAAATGATTTTAAAAATATTATTTTTTTTATTTTTAGAAGTTGACAGAAAAAAATTAAAATATGTGAGGGAGATTTTTTTAAATTTATTTTTTTCAAGGGTTATTAGAATTTTGGAAATATTTTTAATGGCTTCAAAAGCCTTAAGATCTATTAAAATATATTGGGGAGATTTAAAAAAATAAAAATATATATATTTATTTTTTTAGATTTCCTGAATTTTTCAGAATAAAATGGGGAAAGATTTTAAATTTATTTATTATTTTTTTAATTTATTATTTTTATTATTATTATTATTATTTTTATTATTATTATTATTATTATTATTATTATTATTATTATTATTATTATTATTATTATTATTATTATTATTATTATTATTATTATTATTATTATTATTATTATTATTATTATTATTATTTTATTTTTTTATTTATTTATTTATTTTTTTTTTTTGTTTTTGAATGGCTATCAGATATATGTTTATGGTAATTTGGGAATATTTTTAATGGCTTCTAAAGCTTTGAAGTCTTTAAAAATATATTTGCAGAGATTTAAAAAAAAATATAAAATTATTGAAAAATTATTTAAAGGCCGGAAAAAAAGATAAAAATACGGGAGATTTTTTTAAATAAATAAAATATTTTTAATTATTTTATTTTTTTTATTTATTTATTTATTTATTTTTTTTTTTTTTTTGAAGGGTATCAGAATTATAGTAATGGTTATTTGGAAATAATTTTAATTGCCTAAAAACAGTAAGGAACTCCTTGTATGAAGCCACCTTGAGTAAACAAAAGACTTAAGCAACAAACTTGTTTTAAAAATCCCTACCGGTTTTGTCGCGCATTCTCTGTAGACATGTGTATGGACATGTACGTAAGTATGTGTTCGTGCGTGCTCGTTTGTTACATTTCTGCCTGCCAAGTCCTTTCCAATAAAAACTTACAATAACAACAGTTAATTTGATTACTCAAGGACGTTGAAAAGACCGACCTGATATTAAAGCCGATTTTTTTTTCAGCAAAAAAAAATTAATCTGGTTTTTGACAGCAACGTCGACGACAACGCCTGCCAAAGGCGTCAGATTTAACACACTCATGCGGCAGCTTCACCGCAGCCAGCATATGTTCCTCTGTTCGATACTAAGGTGAAGGGGGGAGCCGCAATTGAAACACCATCTGACCGTCCGTCTGTCGTTTTGGCCATTAAATCTGAACGTCTGTTCTGTCTTGGGATTTATTATTGGGTGTTCAAATGCCCTGCCCTGCACTTCGAACACACTCATGCCCAGCCATCATCGTCGTCGAGTCAAGTATTATGCAAAAATGTTCAAACCGGTTGGCAAGCCGACTGCAAGCTGGCTTGTAAGTTCGCCAGGTTTTGCGAATTGGCCAGCATTTTGATTGAACAGAATCTAACTGCATATTTTGCAAAAAAATCGCATTCATAATACTACTCGGACTTAATCAAGCTGTAAGAAGTAGAAATCAACTACTAATCTCCGCACACACACATGTGCATGTATGTGTATAAATTACAAACAACCTGTAGTAGTGGCAAAAATATGCATAACAACAGCCATAGCTGAGGTGAGTATTTCTATTTCTTTATTTATTTACAGTTATGGCTTAAGTCCATGTGTGCACTGCTGCACATTGCAAATTAGTTTCAATAAAAAACAGAATTCTGTTAACACATGTACCCAGTGGTGCATGGAACTAGTAAGGAACTAAAAATTTGAGGATAGATAAAAGGAGAATTACTCTTTTTTTATTTATTTTTTTTTTATTCGCCTACTAAAGTCCTGTTAAGGGTCCTTAGTTCTCAGGCCATTGGAATACCTTAATGCCATTTTCATGCATTTTTTAAAGAATATTTTTTTAGGAAATTTTTTATTATTTTCTTCTGGTTTTTCGTTTGGATTGAGGTTAGAATTTTAAAAACAGACGAAATTGTTGTTTTTTATTATTTAATTTTAATTTCAATTTTTTTTATTAATTTTTCAGTAATTTCTATTAATTTTAATTAATTTTTAATTATTTTTTAATTCATTTTTAATTAATTTTTAATTATTTTTAATTTATTTTAATTAATTTTTAATTAATCTTTGATTAATTTTAATTAATTAAAATAGTTTTTTTATAATTTAATTTTAATTTCTTTTTTTATTAATTTTTAAATAATTTTTAATTATTTTGTTAGTAATTTTAAATAATTTATAAATTAATTTTTAATAATTTTTTAATTAATTTGTAATTAATTTTTTAATATAATTTTTGTGTTGCTTAATTCACTTTTAATTAATTTTTAATAATTTTTAATTAATTATAATTAATTTTAATGAATTTTTAATCATTTTTTAATTAATTTTAATTAATTTTAATTAATTTTAAATAATTTTTAAATTAATTTTTAAATTAATTTTTTTCATTTCCATTTCATTTTTATTTAATTTTTAATTATTTTCTTTTTAATAAATTTTTAGTTATTTTTAATTATTTTTCAATTACTTTTTAATTCATTTTTTAATTTAATTTTGTGTTGCTTAATTAATTTTTAATAATTTTTAATTAATTATAATTAATTTTAATGAATTTTTAATCATTTTTAAATTAATTTTAATGAATTTTTAATTAATTTCAATTAATTTTAAATAATTTTTAAATTAATTTTTTTCATTTCCATTTCATTTTTATTTAATTTTTAATTATTTTTTTTTATTTTTTTTTTAAATTAATTTTTAGTTATTTTTAATTATTTTTCAATTACTTTTTAATTCATTTTTAATTAATTTTTTAATTTAATTTTGTGTTGCTTAATTAATTTTGAATAATTTTTAATTAATTATAATTTAATTATAATTAATTTTAAATTAAGCTTAATTAATTTTTTAATTTTATTTTATTTATTTTTAAGATGTCAAGGAAAAATCTTGGAGAATAATTTTTTTTAATATTTTAATGGACCAATGGATTGCAAATATTCTGCATTTTTTTTGCATTTTAATCGTGATTTTTTTCTTTTTTTTTTTTTGAATGTTATTTTATAGTCACGTAGTTAAAAAAATCCAGATTTTAAAACGAATGTTGTTTGTTTTTTTAATTTTTCCCCACAAAACTTTTATTCTAACCACAATTCTTTAGTAGCCCCAACTAGTGACATGCTAAGTAACACGGATACTACGACCACTTTCCTCACAAATTGCCATTGCATTTACAAAGTATTTGGGTGATTTTAGACGTCAGTCGTTGCGAATGCATTCTTATAAATTCTGTTGCCAGTTTCTTTGGCGAATTATAATCGATTTTTTTCTATGAAATTCTTAAGAGTTGTTAAGCCATAGCTGTTCTTGCTGCTGCTGTTGCCGTTACACTTGGTGTTAAGTTATTTTTAGCATTTGAACTGAACTTAGAGCAAAAGTAAAATTTATTGCCAATATTATTATTAACAAAGTCCAAAGACCATAAAAATATTTTGGGGTAATTTTTTTGTTTGGCTTTTTTTTTGAAAGTGACATTGTAATAATATTTCTGCGCCAGATGAGTAAAACAATTTAGCTTCAATTTTGTTATTGAAAAAATTGACCTCTTGTGGGGGATGTACCAGAAGGGATGGCCTGATATCTACGATCTTCACAACTGATCTAGTGTTGAAAGAAATATTTCGATGTGTTGAGTTTGGAAAAAAATCAGACAGTTACTACGATTTCTTAATGAGAGATTAAAATTTCGAAATTTTGACCCTTTGAGATCTTTTGGTAATAAAAATATTGAGGGGTGTAAAATTTGAAGAGAATTGGGTGCTTACTTCGTATTTTATAGGAGATAAAATTATTAAAAAAATTGACCCGTTGTTGCGGAGGTACCAGTCCATCTTTACACCAGATCATATGTTAACAAAAAAAATATGGGGATATGTGAAATTTGGAGAGAGTCTTCTTTCATAATTTATAAGAGTTTTAGATATTTCAAATGGTGACCCTTTGTGGGGGAGATACCACAAGGAGTGGTTCGATATATCCCTTATTCACATCTGACCTGACACTGACAAAAATATTCGGACTTGCAAAGTTTGCACAAAATGCTCTGTAAGGTAAATTGTCTTCTGTGGAATTATTGACCTTTTGTGGGGAAGGTACCAGGACGCGTAGGTCGATATTACCCCATCTCTGAACTCGATCTATGTTTTACAATAATATT